GTGAACATATGAACTGCTATTCCCACCAGATTTCATTTAGCTCAAAATCTTGCCTCCACTGACGGGCAACAGCATATGCTATAGAGAACAAGACGAGAGCAAGCACGCAGTGATACTTCCCAGTACACTCATCAGCAAGTTGTAGCTCAGAGACCTCCCAAGCAGAAGTATTATCTTCTTTAAAAGAAGTCTCTGATGGATTTTTGTAGCATTTGGAACAGACACATGAAGAAAAGAAAGTCTAGGGCTGTCTGAGCCGCAGAGGCCGTCACTAACCACCACAAATGCCATCCTCTTTTAAGCTGGCACATGATACAGGTTTTCTGACACTTGCTACTTCCACCAGAAGGTTGCTCTGTGACCTGACCTGCTCCAGTTAAACCATTCCTAACTACTGAGAATGTCACAAGAACTGGCCAGGCACAATTCTTCACATCAATTGTCCGAACTGTTAAAGGTGATACATGTTACTTTAAATCAAGTACCTGTGAAAACCTGGGAGGATCCTAGTGACAACCAGTGAGGCTCCCAACAGGATCCTGCCTGATTTCCTCATAACTCACCTGCTGGCCTGGTGAACAGCCCACCTGGAGCTACTGTTCCCAAAGAAACCGAGCAGCAGACAACAAGCAGTCATGAATCACCATGGGGATTTCAGTGGGAAATGGATGTCTACACCCAACTTTAACCACAGTGAGATCCTTGAAGGCGCAGAATTATAACAATCAAGGAAAAATAGTAGTGCATTTAGAAAAGCTGAAGAGAAAAATAAAGTGAGTAACAAAAAGCAGGCAATCTCATCCAAAGTTAAACTATTTCCAGTAAAGAGGTGGTACCTGCTAACCAGCCCGTCACTTTTGGATAATGGCAATGGGCCCCACCTGATTCTCCACATAGTAAACACCTTTCTTCAGCAAGCACACTCAGAAAAAGGAGAGAGTCTCCTTAGGAAATTCAAGGGGATGATATGAAACAAATCATTTGAGGATGTCCATAGGAAAGTTCTCCCGGGGGTATCTGTTTGATTATTGCCCAATAATCTCCATGGGAAGTATTAAAGCCCCCAAAAGCATAAGAAACATAAAACCATGCCAGAGAGTAATGAAAATAAACTCTGAAGAGCTTTTCTGCTCTGGTCTCCAAGGACAACTATCTAATCTCTCGTATCTGCCACAAGGCAAGGTACTGCTCCATCTAAATGCTGGCAAGTCAGCTGAGACAATTTTCACCTAGATTTCAACTTCCCCAAAGGAAAAGCATTGCTTTGGTTAGTAAACAAGTGTACTGGCTTCACCCTGACTTCCATTTCAAGTTCAAACCCTCATCTTAAAAAAAAACCAAAAACCCCCAAACCAAACATGAGCACTCCATGCTACTTTAAGTCTTCACTCCCACCCCCCCATTCACTTCCCTTCATGCCGTTTACCTCCCACCTGCCTGATGACACCCCATCAGGTGTCTCAGCCACCCCAGTAGCCCTGAACACTCCTTTCCTGATATGGTCCAACACTCACCATCTTCCTTCCTTCGAGCTGCTTCTTTAAAAAGAGGCTTACAGCTGCAGGCCGAGTTACAGCAGATGTTTCCTCACAGATCCAAATAAACACACATGCAACTATTTCAACAGAACAATAAGATATAGGCAAAAGAGCTACTTTCTGAAAAGCTCACCTACCTAACAATAAAAACTTTCAAAAAGAGAAAAATCAGTTCAATACTAAGCTGTTCCACATGGGCCCTTTTTATTACTTCCTCCCTATTCCTCATATTGATATTACTGACCATTAGCAGGCAGATGTATGTACTACATAACTGTTCAACTTAGCCACGAATATTAATAAAAGCCCTAAACAGTAAAATACAGTTTTCTTACTTTCCATACCCAATTTAAAATTAACAAAAAACCATAATGCTATTCAACCTTTTCTGGGAGCCAAGGGAAAGAAAGCCAAAATAAGACTGAGAAATAACCTGCATAATACTATACATGAATCATTATCATAACCCATTATGTCAGTGCCCCTTTAAAGGGCACTTCAGGGCATATTCTCTCGAAATGTTAATGAAGACGAGTTAAACTATTCTCCCCTCTAGCAGCACTTAAAATTACTCCACGAGCCTAAAATGTCATACTGCTTTCCCTCTTCTAACAACTCCTGTAACAATATTTTGATTCAATAAAGACAAATCTACCACAAAATAATAAAGCCCTACAACCACCTATTTTCAGTCACGTGGGGTTTTTTTCCCCCCATTCCCTGCTCCTTCTGCTTTTGACAATCAAAAATGGGCATTTGGAAGAAGAGGCATTTAAGCCACAATGTCCAACAGTTATCCTTCACACACAGCACTACGAACTAATTTGCGGAAAGTCCTTCAACTGAACATTAGAATAAACAGCAATGTTTGTCTTGAGCTGATACTTTTGTCTGCCAATCATATATGTATTTTAAGACAAATCCTGATGCTAAATGAAGCACATGCATTATAATCTTTCCTGTAGCATTCTTTTGACTACAATAAATTTAGAGACCTTTTATCTTAACCAATTTTTTTTTTTTTAAGTTTTCTTGTGTGCAATAAAGGGAGCTCCTCCTCATTTTTAAGAGCTAGAGTTCTATACTATGGACTTTGATACATTTTAGTTCTCACAGTATTTTTGTAAAGGTATTATTAAACATTATAATCAAAATAATTGTACTTGGCAAATAAGCGAATTAAGTACACTGTGGAATGTGTTCTCTCTTTTCTTTCTTTTCCAAAACTACTCAGTTTTCCACTGGTTTGCAAAATTCAGTAGTCTGCTCTAGCAGTCATTACCATGAATTAGACAGAGCTTCTTCTGAGTACAATTGTGCAGAAACTCAACACGCTGAGATGGTACATAGGATTCCACCCTATACTAGCTAATTTAATTTCTTGTTAATTTCTGACTCACTGGGTTCATACACTCTGTAGGAACCACGTGCAATAGCTCAGATCACTCTTATTAAAAAGGCACAAAACATTACTCAGTTCCCCTGAAGATACTAATCTGCACATATACATCTTCCTAACAATGTACTGGAAGAAGCGACGTCTTTGTTCAACAGACAAGAAAACTCCGTACCTGCAGCTCCAGCACAGAGTGGTTTTCCCCCCATCTTTCTTTACAAGACTTAAAAAAATTGAGGTGTACTCCATGTGTCTGTAGAACTTGTTCCAAGCAAATTAGAGATTAATAATAAAGGATTCACTCACGCATGATCAGTAATCACTCATTTTAATTACAAGCTTTTAACGTGACTTGCCACAATTACTAGCGTACTACAGAAAGGATCAGCAGTAGGAACAGAAACAAAAATCCTGAGGGCAGATTATTTCAGCGTATTAGGCAGCACCACCCCAGGATTTCTACCACATGGACAGTTTCTAACAGTTCAAAGACAGGTAGATGTTGCACAGCAATGACAGATTCTTTGGCTTCAGCCCCAAGAACACATCACGCAAATACAGCTATTCCCTGTTGTTAAGGCTCCTCAGGTAACACGCTCATTGCTACCACTTGCAGTGCACAGATTCTGTTCTACACTGAGATGAGAAGAAAACAAATCGCACTTCCAAATCCTGGACGTTGCTGGGTATTTGTAAAAAATGATCATATATTCATCAATGCAATCCTCTATAAACTTGTGTCACTGTTGAACCTAGGACACTGTGAATGTATTTCATGTGAAACCTGTCTGTGCAAGCTTTGTCTTGTACTAACCAGCAGTGGCTTTAAATGCTGAAGTTATAAATAACGAAATATTAAAACGCTCCTGCCATCACGGTCCTCAAAGAACTCGCCCATTTTAAGGGCAAACAATTTGTAGCACCCTAGAAGCAACTACTTCATGATTTATTTCAAGCTTACTGCCGTTTTCATAAAATACCTATTTTAAAACACCCTGAAAAACCCATTTGTTAAGAAATGTGTCGAAGTGACTTTGAAAGCGGATCAGATGAAGACAATCAGCATCATCAACCGGAAAAACTGACAAGACCCTTTGGTGTCACTACGCATGTAGCTGCCGTGGTGCTGCTCCAAGACTTGCACGGACTCCATCAAACTAAACGGGCTAGCTGTTTGAAGTACCTGAACAACTACAGCTTACATTTCATTTCAGAACGGGAAAACGTGGGATTGAGGGGGTGCTCCAGGGTTCCTCTCCTTCTACTCTGTGCACTTAAGAGAACTTCAGCCTGTGAAAGGCGAGCAGGTAAGCAAGTACTGTGCAGGCACCCGAGCGGACCCTCTGGGACAACCCATGCCAGCCGCTCCTCACGTAGCACTTCGGGTAGTTCCCACCCAGCGGCCCCCACCGAGGGACACGGGACCACGACAGACACATGCCCTGGCCTGGCCTGGCCCGGCGGGCAGGAGCCCCGCGGGCAGCGGGGCAGGCGGCGCATCCCCCGGGCAGGCTGCCGGGGCCGCTGCCAGCCCCAGCCACGCCGCTCTCCGACGCCTCTCTACGGTACGCCCGTCAAAGTGAAAGAACGTTTAATATTTAAATGGCACGACTTATGTACTGAGAAGTTGCCCTAGTGTTTTGGTTTTTTTAAACCTGTACAAAACCTGTAGCGGTGGAGGTTTTTTCCATACCCCAGCGATCTAGGGGCGCGGGCCGGCCCTGGCGCGCACAGGGAGGTAAAACCTCTTACTGCGATCAACCGGCACAGCTCAACACCCCTGCGAAACCGACCGTAATGGAGGCCTAGCCCGGGCCGCTTCCCGCTGCAAGGGGAAGACACGCCACCTGACGGGAGCGAGCCCGGACGCACCTCGAGCCGCCCCAAGCCCGGCGGCGCTTCCTCCCGCCGCCGGGGCGGGACGGCGGGAGCCG